TGTGAGTGAACTGTGAGGAAGTCTCCGGCGGGAGCCCCCTCTCTGTGTGGCCCGCACTTGTATCTTTTCAACCCGAGCGGGTCATCCTCATCCGTGTAGTTGTCGTCATTCACTTTTGGGTTCCTAAGGCCAATATGGAAGAAATATCAGGCGGTGAGCCTTGTGTGTGCGTGAATTGTGACGAAGCCTCCGGAGGGAGCCCCTTCCCTAGGGGTCCCGCACTTGTATCTTCTTTACCCGAGCAGGTCTTCCTCATCCGTGTAGCAGATGTTATCATGTTTGAGTTTTTGAGGCTTGAATATGGGCAAAATATCGGGCGGGAGCCTCGTTCTTGAGTCAACTGTGAGGAAGTTTCAGGCGGGAGCCCCCTCTCTATGGGGCCCGCATTTCATATTTTTTAAACAGACCTGGTCATCCTCATACGTGTAATTGTCGTAACTTTTGGGCTCCGGCGGCTTGAATATGATGGAAGTATTTGGAGAGAGCCTCGTTTGTGAGTGAACTGTGAGGAAGTCTCGGGCGGGAGACCCTTCCCTATGGAGCCCGCATTTCATGTTGTTCTTTTGCACAGGGTGTCTAGAGCTCCGACCATTTTATTTCGGCACGGCACCCCCTCCATCATCCACACATTCCACCAGCCAGCGCGTCCCTCCGCCCCGACCTCTTTATTTCGGCACGGCACACCCCTCCGCCCCGACCTTTATTTCGGCACGGCGCACCCCCTCCACACCCCCTTCGCATCCCCCCACCCACCAGCCAACGCGCCCCTCCGCCCCGACCCCTTCATTTCGGCACGGCACACCCCTCCGCCCCGGCACTCCCCCCCCGCATCCCCCCCACCCGCCTCCCAGCGTGCCCCTCCGCCCCTGACCCCTTTTATTTCGGCACAGCACACCCCGCCGCCCCGACCCCTGTATTTCGGCACGGCACACCCTTTTTCGCCATCCCCCCCCACACACATCAGCCAGCGCGCCCTTCCGCCCCGACCCCTTTTATTTTGGCACGACACACCCCTCCGACCCGACCCTTTTTATTTTGGCACGACACACTCCCATCCGCATCCCCCCACCCACCAGCCAGCGCGCCCGTCCGCCCCGATCCCTTTTTTTTCGGCACGGCACACCCCTCCGCATCCCCCCCCCGCCAGCCCGCGCGCCCCTCCGCGGCACGGCGCACCCTCCGCCCCGACCCCTATTTTATTTGCCGGCAGCACACCCCTCCGCATCCCCCCGCCCACCAGCCAGCGCGCCCCTCCGCCCCCCTTTATTTCGGCATGGCACCCCCCGCATCCCCCCCCGGCCAGCCATCCGCCCCGATCCCTTTTCTTCGGCACGGCACATCCTTCCGTCCCGATGTCTAATTCGGCACGGCACACACCCCCTCCGCATCCCCCCCCCACCAGCCAGCGCGCCCCCCGCCCCGACCCCCTGCCCCCCCACCCGCCAGCCAGCGCAGCCCCTCCGCCCCGACCCTTTGATTTTGGCACCCTTTTATTTCGGCACGACACACCCCTCCGCCCCGACGCCTTTATTTCGGCACGGCACACCCCTTCCGCATCCCCCCACCCACCAGCCAGTGCGCCCTCCGCCCCGACACTTTTTTCCCGGCACGGCACACCCATCCGCCCCGACCCTTCTATTTCGGCATGCCCCCCGCCCCCGCCCGGACCCATTTGTTTGGGCACGGCACCCCCCCTGCATCCCCCTACTCACAAGCCAGCGCGCCCCTCCGCCCCGACTGGTTTTGTTTCGGCACGGCACACCCCTCCGCCCCAGCCCCATTTTTTCGGCACGGCACACCCTCCGCATCCCCAGACCCACCAGCCAGTGCGCCTTTCCGCCCCGACCCTTTTTATTTCGGCACGGCCCCACCCCCCCTCCGCACCCCCCCCACTTGCCAGCCAGCGCGCCCCCTCCGCCCCGCGACCCTTTTATTTTGACACGGCCCCCACTCCCTCCCCGCGCGCCCCGTTGCGCCCCCTCCGCATCCCCTTCACCCACCAGCCAGCGCGCCCCTCCGCCCCGACCCTTTTATTACGCCCCCCCACCCACTCACAAGCCAGCGCGCCCCTCCGCCCCGACCCCTTTTGTTTCGGCACGGCACACCCCTCCGACCCTCCCCCTTTCCTTTTGTGCAAGAGCAATGGCACACGTGCCACTTGTTAATCCGAGCGGGTCACCCTCGAACCTGTAATTGTCGTCACTTTGGGGCTCCCGAGGCCTGAATTTGGGGGAAGTATCCAGCGGGAAATTGCGAGGAAGTCTCAGAGGGGAGCTCCCTCCCTATGGGGCGCGCACCTCGCGTGCTTCCTCCGGGTCGTCCTCCGGGTCGTCCTCTGGCGCGCGCTTCTTCTCAGTCGTCCTCTGGCGCTATCTCTTGGGACGCACGTCGTGCGCTTCCTCTGGGTCGTGTTCCGCAGGAGGAGGAGGAGGAGGAGGAGGAGGAGGAGAAGGAGGAGGAGGAGGAGGAGGAGGAGAAGGAGGAGGAGGAGGAGGCGGAGGAGGAGGTGGTGGAGGGGGAGGAGGAGGAGGAGGAGGAGAGGAGGAGGACGACGACGAAGGAGGAAGGAGGATGCTTGACGAGAAGGACAAGGAGGACGAGGAGGAGGAGGCAGGGGGCGAGAAGGACGAGGAGGACAAGGAGGACAAGGAGGAAGAGGAGTGCCTCAGGAGGCCCCAAGATGCCCCGGGAGGCCCAGAAGGCCCCAGGAGGCCCCAAGAGGCCCCAGGAGGAGGCAAGAGGCCGAAGGAGGAGGCAGGAGGAGGAGGGAGAGGAGGAGGCAGGAGGAGGAAGATGGAGACGACGAGGAGCAGGCGGAGGAAGGAGAGGAAGAGGAGGAGGCGGGAGAGAGGAGGAGGGAGAGGAGGAGGAGGAGGAGGAGGAGAGGAGAGGAGGAGAAGAGGCAGGAGGAGCAGGGGGATTGGGGGGAGGAGGCATAACGAGGAGGAGGAAAAGGACTGGGAGGTGGTGGAGGAGGCAAGAGGAGGAGGAGGAGGAGGAGGAGGAGGAGGAGGAGGAGGAGGAGGAGGAGGAGGTGGAGGAGGAGGAGGGGTTGAGGCAAGAGGAGGAGCAGGCAGGAGGAGAAGGATGAGGCAGGAGTAGGTGGGAGAAGGGAGGGGGCAGGAGGAGATCCCCAGGTCAGCTCAAGAGATTCTCATGTGGGGTCCTACCGTCGGGGTGATTTGGTTTGTGCCTCTAACGCCGAATCCACCCGCACGGTGGGAAAGAATGGGGATGCGTACAAACATTGGTGCGTGCAGCTCGTCCCGGCCCCGCCGCCACGCATTTTCCCCGATGCGCGCGATTGTTGCTGGGCGCCAGGGGGAATCGGAAGAACCAGCTGCGTCTAGCTGTTTCGGTACCCCTCTGGTCCAGCCCCCCTCAGCTCGTCGCTGTTGCCCGAGCCGGACTGTGCCTCCTCCCCGTCTCCGTTCTCGTCGTGGTCCTCCTATTTCCCTCCAGTCTCAGAGGGGCTTCTTCGCCACACCCACGCTGAACTCCATGTTCCGAGGCGTGGGTTCATCCATCACCACCGCCTGGGGGTTTCGATCTTGGGGGATCTGGGCAGGCGGTGGACATGGGCATAGTGGGGACCTGGGGGGATACATCCATATCCGCCGCCTGCCGAGGTCCCTGAAGAAGGATCCCCCGGGCGGTGGTGATGGATAAATCCTCGCCTCGCACACATGGTCCTGTGATTGAATGATTTGCTTTTGCGGGAAATCCCGCTGCATGCGGCAAGTTCGGCCACCAGTCGAGCGCCTTCCAGGCAGCCGTGACATCTGACACCTCCTCGTCTCCATGTCTCGATGGGGCTACCACGAGGCCTGCTTGGGCAGTCTTGGGGCACTTGTGGGGCCGTCTTGGATGATTCTTGGGATCCTCTTGGACAGCCTTGCCGTCTTGGCCCTCTTGGCCGTCTTGGCGGCTGTATTGGAAGTCCTTCGGGGCTATTCCGAGACCCTCCTTGGGTTTTCTTGGGCCGTTTTGGAGCCTTTTTCGGCTGTCTTTAACCTTTTGGGCCTCCTGGGGCCTCTTCGTGCTGTCCTGGGTCATCTGGGGGGCCTCCTGAGATTGGGCTCTCGTTGGCTCCTCGGAAGTCCGTCATAGGACCTTTCGGAACCATTTTGTGCCGTGAGGCACGGGCCCATGAGAACCTACGTCACTTAAAAGCCTGACGAATCCGTGAGGGTTTCGACAGGTTGTGGCTTTCCTGGAGGGCCTACGGGCTTTCTCTTGAGTATGTTGGAAGCCTCTTGGGTCCCATTTGGCGCCATTTCGTGTTTCTCTTGGTTGCTCGCGAGGCAAAGCTGGGGCATCTTGACGGTCGTTGTGGCCTTGCTGGGCCGTCTGAAAAGCCTTGTAGATTAGTGGAGGGACCCCAAGGAGGTGTCACGGCGCCCAGGGAGCCTCGGGAGGGGCGAGAGGATGCACATGCCGCTACGTTACTGTGAGGCCTTGGGCCGTACAGGACTTACTGGGACCCTGACCCTACCAGGCAGTGCACAGTCATTCCAATACGTCCACGTCATGCAGGCACGGTGGCGGATTGTTTATGATTGTAAAGCTGTTTTTTCACAAGGCAGAGGTGTCGGACAAACTGTTTTGTCAGATCTGTATGTTTATGTGTTCGCTTGTAGTGTCCCAGCAGATTGGTTGACCGCTCCGCGTGGGCATACAGCACCTGCAAACTATACATTGCCCATCGCCACCCACGCTGACTCTCCCGCTTGCTTGTGCGGGTTTCTTGTTGGTCTCCCCAAAATGTCTATTTCGGGGCTTGCGCTTCTTTGCTTAAGTAATTGATTGGGTATTCCCGGTGTTCGCCACGTTGCCGCCTCGCGGGCGCCCCGTGCGTCGGGGGCGTTCGCCGAGGTTGCGCCACGTTGCCCCCCATGCCGCTTCAGTGCTTGCTCACGGTGTCAAGTCCAAACGTATACCCGTGTGCACGTCATGTTGTTCAGGCGCCCCTACGTATATCGTCCGTATCCGTTCGGTTTAGGGCACCCTAAGATGTTTACACCTGTTATCCTCGCCCCATAGCAGAAGTTTTGCCCTTCCCCTGTTCGGTGTTTTCTTGTCGGATGTGATGCCGTAGTTGGTAGCGGAGCCTCTGGTACGTCCAGGGGCCTCCAGCTTCGACATGGCGGGCGAAGCTGGAGACGACAACATGTCAGCACGAAGCAAACGATATTCGCTGGACGAGATAGATGTTGCGGCTTCAGGGGGGCCCAGGAGTCAGGCTTCACGGAAGCCCAAAAAAAGTTCATGCAACTCGTAGCCGACGCGATTTTGGGCGCATCGGCGACAGCAGGGACGTCGCGGGGGGTATATTAGGGCGCGGGCTGTCCACAAGATCCAAACACTAGTTTGCCATAGTATTCTTGGCTGATCTCCGATCGGTGGCAGAAGTCTCGCTCGGGTTCGAGTGCGGCATGGGACGGCAAGCTCTCGGTCGGCTGGACTCAGCTTGACACGAAGCAGGATGCAGACCACAGTTCATGGTGGATGTGCGACTTTTCTAAGGACGGTAGTACCCACTGGAGATCTCCGGACTGGGCCGACCAGCGCTGGCAGCAGTCATCGTGGCCCAACTCGTCGTGGCACGACCCGACCTCTCCGACCTGCCGAAGTGGACGGGCTGGTCTCGCTGCAAGATATGGCAAAGGCGAGTTCATCGGTGGTTGGAGGGCGCCGACATCCGTCACCCAAGAGGGCCGAGAAGTTGTTGCAGGCGCTACAGCCCGATATGCATTGGAAGTTCGGTGACCTCTCCGACCAAGTGCTAATCAGCGAGCTTGGAGCAAATACCATCCTGTCTAGGCTCGCCGCATTGGGCGAAGAACGACACGACGACGATCGACGCAAGGCTGGTCGAAAACACCTTTTACACATTACAAGCCAGAAGAAGACGAAATTATATTTGTTTCTGTAATTAGTGAGCAGACAGAAACAGTTTGACCAGCTGGCCGCCCAGGGCCTGCAGCTGGGCGTCGAGTGGAAGAAGCCCTTCTTCGAGGAAGGAGTGATGCTTGATGAGGGGGGCCGAAAGATGGCGCGCGTCATGGTTCGTAACGATGTCGTCTCGTCCGCTTTCGAGTCAGCGATCAAGGAGATAGATGCGACGTGGAACGAGTTTCTCTCCTGGGCCGGGTCAAGAAATCACATCTGGAGGCATTGCCCGAGAGCCGCCCCCACCCGGCCTTGGGCGACGGCGAGGGCGACGGCGCCCAGGGCGAGGCGTCGAGTCTCGACGCGGAGGGAAAGAGGCGAAGTGCGAGAGAGAGAGGGAACAACACACACAATTTTGGTTTTACATTATATATATACATACATACATATATGTATATATACATATATATATATATATATATATACAAAAAATACGCAGCCATGGCCACGAGACGCCCGACGATCACAAGCCTTTTGCGGGCATTTCTGGAGCGCGAGGGGCCGCGATGGGGCCTCGCGCTTTGGGCCAGGGCACGATTTCCACGACTGCGCGCGCTAGGCCGCGGCGCGCGGCAGCCGCCCCCCATCTCGCCGCGCTCGCGCGGGCGCCCTGACCTCGAGGGCGGCGGCGGTGGCGGGGCGAGGCGGTGGGGCTGGAGGCCGTGGCCAGTGCGCTAGGCTTGCGGGCGGCGGGCCGCGGTCGATGGGCACCTGCGCGGCCCGCCGCGCCAGCGGCCGCCCCCCTTGGTTCTACAAGGCGCGCAGCGAGCCGGGCGCCGACGGCTTCAGGGAGGTCAACTTCGGGGAGCGGCTGCAGCGCAAGTGGTGCAACTTGGCCAGGGCGGCCGTCTTCGGAGGCAAGACCGCCGAGGACTCACCCTCGAGACGGGCGGGGCCTAGCGACAAGGGGCGGCTCGCCAAGCAGGCGCCGCTGGCCCCGGGGGCTGCGCCCGCCGGCGGGGCGGCGACCGCGCCCCCCTTGGCGCGAGGCCTCGCCTTGGAGGCCGCGGTTGGAGGTTGTGGAGAAGAAGCTGGCGGCGCTTCAGGCGCGGGGCGGCGCGGGCCGACAGGGCGGGCTGCGCGGCGCAGCAGAGGGTCAAGCTGGAGGCCGAGCAGGTCCAGCTGCGGAGCGCCCTCCTTGCCTCGAAGCTCCCGGGGGCGCTTCAGCGACCGCGTCGCGAGGCAGGGGAAGCAGCTGGAGAGGGGCCGCAGCGAGCTGGCGGCGGTGGAGTTCCAGATTCAGGAGTTGGCCACCAAGGCGCAGGTGCTGCGGACGGCCAACATCGACAAGGAGGCGCACGGCGGCGAGCTCAAGGCGGGGCACGCCCGTGCGCTGGGAGCGCAGTGGCCCCCCCCCCCCGCGGAGCCTGGCGCTGGGCTGGATGGCGCCGTGGAGGTCGGCGGCCAGCGCGCCGCGACGGAGACCTAAGGGGGTTTTCGGGGTTCTTCACCGCGGAGCAGGAGCTGGCGGCGGCGGCGCTCAGGCAGGTTAGTGGCTAGCGCGCGCGAGCAGCAGGTCGCCGCTGCGGCCGTGGAGACCGAGCGCAGGGCGGCGGCCGTGCCGGGCCAGGGGCGAGGGCCTACTGCCGGCGCTGGCGACGGCGGCCCGAGCGGAGTCGAAGCTGGGGCGGAGCGCCAGGGGGCGGGCGACGACTGCATGGATGATGAGGAGCTCAACGCCGCCGACCAGCATCTGCTCCGCAAGAAGGCCGGGCGCGCGCCCACCCCTGGGGGAGGGGCTGAGCGGCCTCCTGATGATGCGGCACCTGCTGCCCACAAGCGCTTCTGCGACCCTGGTGCGTCGCGCCCGGAGAAACCGAGGATGGCGCGAGGGCAGCGCGGGCGCGACGGCGCGAGCCCACGAGGACGACTAATTACGGGAAGGCGTTTTGCCGCGAGTTGCGCGGCGCCGAGGGGCAGGCTGCCTCGGACATGGGCCGCGGCTTGGACGCGTGGGCGGGCAACCTCACCGGCGCCGCCCCGGTGGACTTCCCTGCTGGCGGCTGGGGGGGGGGGGGGGGCTCACTCGAAGCTGACGGGGGCGTTCGGTCATCGAGGGCACGGCCCCAGGATGTCAGATCAGCTTGGCCTCGCAGGGCAACCTGCGCGGCAACCGCGGGCGTCGGCCACCGTGAATGTCGTTGAACTCCACTCCAGGACTCTCGCCCCGGGCAACGTTCGAAATCGTCGCATTTCAAAAACAGAAGGCCCGCGAGGACCGCGTGTGCCGGGGAGGTGCTCTTTTTCAACCCCCTTGCTTTCTGCCCGGGGAAAAAATTGCATTTCGGCGGCGGAAAGGCGGGGGGGGGCGCTTCCCGCGATTCCCTGTGGCGCAGGAAGAGGGCAACAATAATATAATTAAAAGAGAAAAGAATATCGGCGGAGAGGAAAAGCACTCTTCCCCAGACGTCCTGCGGTAATGATTTTTTCATGCGGATGGTTTGTGATGATTTTGTCGCCTTGTAATGTTTGTGTTGTTTCACGTTTTGTTGTGATGATTTTTGTTTTCATATCCAACCATGCGCAAACGTACATACATGCAGCCTTAAGTACAGGTGTGTACATATATATATATATATGCGAAGATATACATATGCATATGTCGATGTATGTAATATTATACACGCACGAGCGGCGGAAAAAAACGGAGACGTCGGCGCCGCCATTGGCGCGTGCAAGCTGACCGCGTAAAGGTCGCGCGTAAGTGCCCCCGTTTCCAACGTGGCGCGTCGCGCAGGCGGTCCGCGCGATATGCCATCTCGCGCATGCGACCAGTTTTTTTTGTTCATCGTCGTTCGGGGTGGGGCGTGGGCGGCGCGCGCCCAGCCGCGGGCTCGAGCGCTCGGCGCGC